TGGCCAGTTCCGAAAAAATGGAATCAGATTTGAAACCTGTAAAACAGGTTCCGGTTCCGAGTTCCTGATAAAATTCCCTATTTGTTTAAAAAAATGACAAATAAACCCTTAAAAAGCTACAAATACACCCTCATCTTACAACGAATTTTGACCATTGAATTTAACTCATATGCCAATCACTTTGAAAAAGCTTTTTTATAAGCTAAAACTCTGAGCACTGCTTGCAAACAAAATAAGCCAAGTTCTCTCCTTTCTTCTCTTATCTTCTTCTTCTCCACACAAAATCCTAGTCAAGGTAGCCCTAAAAGTTACGTCCATCTCTCTGTTCCCATCATCTTCGAACAAAACAAGCCAAGTTCTCTCCTCTCTTATCTTATCTTGTTCTTCCCCCCACAAAACCCTAGCCAAGGGAAAACGAAGAGCGCCCTATTGTAGATCTCTTTTCTTCGCTTAAATTCTCCTTCTCCTTCTCCTATTTGCATTTATTAATAGAGGATTTGTGCCGAATTTTAAAAAAAAGGTGGAAGAATTTGAAAGTCTAGCCAAGTTGATTTTTTTTTTTTTTTAATGCTTTGTTGATATTTTGTATGAATAATGAAGATTTTTTTTTTTTGTCAAATTGATTTTTTGTATGAATAATGAAAATTTGGGTTTCAGATAATGTTAATGTTAAATGGCGGAATTTGTTGGATTTGAATTTTTTTTGTGTGTGTGTGTGTGTTCAATATCAATGAGAAGAAAATGAAAGGAAAAAATAGAGTTATTTTTATTAAAAAAAATTGGTTTTTGTTGCTGTGTTCAATATAGGTGAGAAGAAAATGAATAGAAAAATAAAGTTGTTTTTATTAAGAAATAAAGGTTATTTGTGATGAATTAATTTTAATACAAGGTAAGGACATCAATTAAATTCAGCTGTGAATAAAAACAAAAGAAAAAACAAGACAAAATTTAGGAAGAAATTAGGTAAAACTTTAATTGAATCGTAAAATTTAACAATGGTCCCTATAATTTTCTAACATTCATTTAGTCTCAGACCCGCACAATACTAGTTTCTGATTTCTATAACCAAAACCTACCCTATGAGAGTCGATTTCGGGTAGGAACTAGAACTGAAACCGAGGTGCCCATCGGTTCTTTTACACACCCCTATCATCCATGGTTAAAATTTAATTTAAGAAAGAAAAAATGGTAAAACCTTAAAATCCTCCACCCTTTGGCTGGGTGCGATTTGGCTAGAATAGCACTCAGCCAGGTGCAATTCAATCAAATTCTCCACCCCCAATTGCACCAAATCTACCCCCATCACACCATTTTCAGGCCATCAGAATCTGATGGCAAACTCCCAGCAAAACCTTTCAGTCGAATTTAACTTTGTAGAATACAGGGCCACGAAGTTAAACCAAATCAACAAGGCACTAGATGAAGCAGTGTTTTCGTCACAAAATACACCCCTGATATTTCACGAGGCAATGAGGTACACTCTTCAAGCTTGTGGGAAATGTTTCACTCCAACTCTATGCATTGCTTCGTGCGAGTTGGTTGGAGGAAACGAGTCTTTGGGGATGCCACTGGCTTGTTCACTAGAGATGATGGTAGCATCAGATGTGATTCTTGATGATCTCCCTTGTTTGGATAATGATGATCTTAGACGAGGAAAGCCTACAAATCAGAAGGTTTTTGGCGAAGAAATTTCAATTCTTGCTATTTGAAGTCGTTGTCGGGCTATGTCCAACACTTGGGTCAAAAGGAGTTGTGGCAAGGTAGGTTATAGACACCAACAGTGGGGGAAAAGAAGTTTTGGTGAATTAGAGTTCATTCACGGGAACAAAATTGGGAAAATTGTAAAGACGTCAATGGTTAATTTGTGGGGTTTTAGCGGGAGGATGAAATGATGTTAAGATAGAGAGGATTAGCAAAAGACAAGAAGTGAGAAAGGTATTTTTATCTTTGCAATATTTATACCATGTTAATTAATGGATTTTACTAATAGATTTTAATGATAAATAGGAAAGTGTCGTTTTGAAACTTTTCGGTTGAAAAAAGTCATTAGGTCAAACCTTGGGTGAGAAAATGTCGTTTACTCTTTTTAAAAATGATTATCAAAATGTTATAATATATTTAAAAAGAAGGAAGAAACTATAGATCACTTTCTATTCCATACATATTCCCCGTTGTTGGACAAAATATTAGCACATTAATACTAACTTTAAATGGATACTCCATGTTGGTTTGGATGATTTTTTTATGCTTGTTTGATTTGTAATTAAAAAATAATTTTCAAAAACTAAAAAATGATTCAAAATTTTGACTTATGCCCAAGTATTCTTAATATTTGAAAATGTGCTTGATATAATATTTAAAAATTATTTTCAGATTAAAAGCTATAGAAAACTTTGAAATTGACTTTAGTTGATCTCTAATTTACAATAGTTTTTAGGCTTGTCCAAAAACTACTTTAACAATAAGACTTATTTGTACCAAACACATTTCCATAAAATTAATTTGACATAACCCTTGCTTTCGAAAATAAAAATTGTATATAAATTCTATACAAGAGTTTTTTTATATGTTCACAAGAGTTTTGTGATATTTTTAGGAGGCTTTCGACAATTTTAGGGAGGTATCTAATACTTTTCAAATTTGTTGGGGCGCTTGGGATTTAGCTATCTCTCTGGGGTGAATAGATAAGGATAAACAATTATTAAAAAAAACTACTTTATCTTTGTATCAACTTTTCAGATGTAGTGTTTTACAACATTATCTAAATGGGTTTTGCTATAGTACAACGTTGTAAGAATACATCAATGTCAAACTTGTATATGGAAATCATAAAACTTGTATTGTAATATCCACTATTACATGGTTGTACTATCCTGCAAACTTCTTCAAGAAGGTGTTTAAGTAACTTTTTGGGAAAGTGAACCATTAAAGAATGAAATGACCTTTTGCTTTTCCCTTTCGCTGTTCTTAGTGGGTCATGGATTTGTGGAAAAAAAATTTCATTCAGATTGTACATATTAATAACATAAAACCTTCTTAATTTAATACAGATAGGATCCTTCCTTGGAAGATCTTGTTGATAAAATTGTTACTGAACGAAAAATTGCGGAAAAAAAATCTGTTCCAAAAAGTGTGACTAGTTTTCTGTATTGAAGAAGACGAAGATCAACTCTTTTATAGTTAGTGAAAAATAACGAAGAAACGCAGCGTTTTGCTTGTACCATATTAAGCTCATACAAGGATTAAAAAAGAAAGAAAGAAAGAAAGAAGCATTAAAAATATTTTGTACCAAATATTTACAAGAAATGTTTCCATCATTGGAGATGGACAGGGGCTATTCCCATCAAAACATTAACGTATTATCATTTTCACAGTAGGTAAAGCTTGGCACGAGTTGCTTATGTCAAGAACTGCTCACAACACAGAAAATGATCCCATATCAACCCTAAGGTGTCCTCAAACATATTATACATAGTATCAGTATCCACCTTCTGTTCCTGAAAATTGTGAAAAAAGAAACCATAAACCCATGTAAGATGTTCCGTGTTCTGAGAAAATAAGATAATAATAAGTGCAGAAATATGAAAAAAAAAATTACAGAAGCAATTGCTTACTTCATATGATTCATTGCAAAAAAATCGTTAAACTTAAACACAGCTAAAACTCAAAATATTTTCATTATAATCTTCTATGTTCAAATTGTTCATAAAACTTTTGGAAAAATTTTGCATTTCGTTTAAATTTTTTATAGTGAAATTGTTTTGCAACTCAATGGTGAAATTAGATGTTAAATAATTGAAGTATAACGACGTCGTTTTAACCAGGAAACAAAACGCTGCCGTTTTGTTTAATATCCCAAATGAATCTCAGCCATCAACAATAAAGAGAATCCAACGGCTCAAATGCGTTCAGAAGTCAACAGTATAAAAGGGGACTATTCACGCATTAAGGGTAATCGAGTTTTAGGTTATTCGTTTTTCTTCTCTGTAAAATTGGTGGGTGGTCTGTGCTAGGGTTACATACTCATTCGGGGTTTTTTTCTTCTCTGTGTGAATCCTCTAGTGTTGCGTTTGAGGGCAGGGGTTCCTTGAAGGTTATAGAGCACTCTAGGGAATTAGGATTTGCGGGATACAGGGACTGAGTGAGTGATTGTTTCTGGGATTGTTAGTGAAGAAGATTCTTCTGTAAAGTGTAATCTTTGAGGATATCAATACTAGTGCAGCGAGCTCCATATTCTGGAGTTCAACGTGGATGTAACTTGTTCTATCTTGAACAAGCGAACCACGGTATATCTTGTGTTGTGTGTGTGTGACTTGATTTTGCAGTTTTTGGGTTGCTTTGTGTTTAATCTTGCAGGTTGAAGATTGTTCTTGTTTTACAACATTAGAAACAATATTTGGAAAACAATCACTTCAATGATAAATTTCTGAATGGCAATAATTTCAACATTTATTAAGTCTCACCCGAAAAGAGAAGGTCAAGTGAACAAGTCGAATGCAATAAATAACAATTACCAGTATGTCTGAAGCTAATCGCTTGAACTTCAGAATAATCTCAATTGAAGACTCCCCAGTAGAAGACTCAAAACTAAACCGATCAGCATGTCTTACCTTGAGCCTCAGTGATGAGGTTTCATACAACTTAACTTCTAGGTGCCAAACCTCAGTAACACAGTACTGATCCCCCGAGTTTGACTTCCGTAGGGGCCATCTCAAACCACCCTTCACTCCTGGATCTAAAATAGCTGAACTAATCAGGTTTCTAAGGCTCTGAATTTCTTCATCCTAGAAGAACGCATATAATCAGTTTGATTATAGATATCATTCTCAAGGATAACTGAAACAGCTATAAACTAAAACATTCGATAGATACATGTTAAACCACTGTTCTTTTTTATTTTACATAAGGAAAATAATACAGTTACCGAAGAATACGCANATCAAGCAAAGCACATTTCATCCACTTTCTACCAAAATTACATTCCAAAAGCATCATTTTATCTCACAAAATCCCCCATTAGCCTAAATAATTGCCCAAGAACATCGTTATATACAATCTCACCCTTTTCTTTCATTCAATTGTTGGTCCATTTTTTGGCCTCAACAGGTATTAAGATCCTATTCATAATCTAGAAGAAAGTGTTTCATGATAGTAAAATCCTTCATAGCCAAGTAATTGAGGAATGATATGTTACCCGGATGTGAATTCCGGTGTCATTATAGTTACTAAAGGGTTTTGATAACACATTATTATATATTATCAAGGGTAATTCTATGATATTGGTACAGGTTTTTTTGTTATAATATCTATAATTGGGCTGGCAGTGTTTGATTTTAATTCTGATTAAAGATGTTTGCTTTACTTGGAACTACTTGTTAAAGGGGAATGCATATTTTTATATTAAATTATGTGATTGGTTTAGTCTTTGAGTTAATTTTGTCATTTCCTTTGGGTTTGTGACATAGTTTTCCATCAGTATTGAGGAATGGTTTGTCGAAATTGGGTGTTCCTCGTGAGGTTTTTGGAGTTCTATTTAATTGGATTGATGCTAATGAAGACTATCTAAAGATCCCGGAAGCAAAAGGGCAGATTAGTGCTATTCGAAGTGAGGCATTCTTCATTCCCTTGTATGAGCTTTACCTCACATATGTGGAATTTTCAGGTTAACATTTGGACCAAAGGTTTGTTTCTTTTGACTAGACTAGAAAATTCTGTGTTATTTTAGAATAATTGAATTTACTCAATAATTCAAGGGCCAAAAACTAATTGTCTTTTCATGAAACCTTTTGAGTCCATCTAAACTCCTGGGAGGATCACAACATTTTGTGGTTTATTGATTTTTGATACAGGAGTCCATCAAGAATATCTCAAGAAGCTGCCAACTCTTATGTTTTTCCATGAATCTGTCATATTTTTGCTGCAGCAGGTAGCAGTTTTTATATTGATCTTCCCTTGTTTTGGGTTAATTTCTTGTGAAGGTGAGATGGTTTTGCTGACAATTGTCATATGTAAACATTTGCAGGTGGTGGTGGATTTGGAGGTTTCGGCAGCCAACAAGGGTTAGCTTTTGGTGGGGTTGCTGGAGGAACTGGAAATAGATTTGGCTGTGTTTTTTGGGTAGCAGAAAGTGTATTTAGTTGAGGCCAAATTGGCCTGTTTTGGTAGGTTGTTATTTTGGGAACTGTTAGAATTGCTGGAACTATCATTTTCCAGATTTCTTGACTGTATTTGCTTCCTGGTAATCAATGAAATTTTCTCAATTTTTCCCTTAATTGTTTGGTGAGTGAGGATCTTGGTTGACAAATTTTTAGGCTGCTGTTTTATCAGTTGCCAAGGCCAATTTGTTGATAATTTGATATCTTTTTGTTTGAAGTTTTGAATAGATAATAGTAAGGATGATTTTGACAAGCCCCTACCGCTTAAGCGATCAAGGGTAATTTATGTATGCTCGCTTAAGCGAAAGCTGCATCGCTTAAGTGATTGTGTACTCGAGGATAAGTTTAGACACAAATTAGCTTTGGTTGCGTAAGCGATGTGGGTTATCGCTTAAGCGATCAAGACTTATATATACTGGATCGCTTAAGCGAAAACTGCATTGCTTAAGCAATCTGTTATTTTTTTTATTTTTATTTTTTTAATGTGGATTATTTGATAATCCCATATTAAATAACGTTAATGTTAACTTAAGACGTTCACAACATCAGAAGATTCGGGAGAAAGGAAGCAAATTAGCCTTGATCGCTTAAGCGACATTAGTTATTAACACATATTAAGGCTAATTAAGAAGGATTATTTGACAACCTAATTCCATCAACACATATTAAAGCCATTTAAGAATATTATTAACATTAATTTAAATCTCGGACATTCACAACATCAAAATATAACAGCTAAGATATGTGACTAACAACCCTATGTTACATGAAGGAATGTCATAGCACACTAGTATGACACGTTAGTAAAAACGTATCTCATTTCACAAATATGGATGGTTATGATTGAATATATAGCTAACCCACATTACAGAATATAATTTCTCACTCAAACGTTCACAATATCAAAATATTGAGGAGAAAAGAAGCAAATTGGCCTTGGTCGTTTAAGCGACGTAAGCTATCACTTAAGCGATCACAACTTATCTATATTGGATTGCTTAAGCGAGAGTTGACATCGCTTAAGCGATTGTGTATTTAAGAAGGATTATTCTAAGTACAAAAGCAAATTACCCTTGATCGCTTAAGCATCCTTACTATCATCTATTCAAAACTTCAAACAAAAAGATATCCAATTGTCAACATAAAAAATTGAAAACAACAAAGCATTCATAACAAGTCCATGAGACAAAAAAGGTAATCTCATAAAGTACTCATCAAAACCATTAAAATTGCTTTATGATTCACTAATAAGTCTTCAACNGTAATTCTTAATTGACCATAAGATTCTCGTGACAGACTTAATCACTTTGGCTTATGTAAAATTCCTAAAGAAATAGAAATGAAGGAAGCATTATATAACATTCAAGCTGATAAAGCAAATAAATTCTTTACCCACGAAAAAGAATTTTGCCAAATCCAGCGACAAATTTTGGCTTTACTTTCTCCAGCTCTTTGCACTCCATTTTGTTCCTCAGATTGTTAAAAGAAGTTAATAAATCTGGCCATGCATTTTTAGCAACAAATTCCCAAGGTCGTATTGACATATTCCCTCCCACTTCATCATTACCTACAAACAAGAAAGAAAACGATCAATAATAAACTAAAACACTAGAATGAAATTCAGACAATAAAGTATACTACATTACGATAATTCTAAACAGGGCATAACACCACCTTTATCTGCATGATTGTTCACTAAAACTAGAGACTTTTCTCCTATAGTCCGCTCAATGGGTTCTAAAATCGGCTCAAGGTGGAGAAACGAAGGAAATTGGTGATTATCATATAAATCAACAACGAACCATCTGTATACGCATTGGTCTGCATTGATAATCTTCACAACCCTGTCTACATTATGCCGAGATGATCTCCAGTTCAAATCTCTCTTAAATTGTGGAGCAAGCAGCTCTGGAGTTGGAGATGGACTGTTCGAATCCTTTGAGCGTCGCTTGTGTGGTGGAATATAAGCCATAAAGATATAGCAACAATCACCCCTCTCCCAATTAACACCCAATTCTTGAAAAAATCAACAAAATAATAGAATAAACCAAAACCTCTAATACTCTAACCTCAAAGCCTCTGAAAATAATAACGAGAATTAAAAAACAAAAAACCGCAAGAAATGTCTCTCTTACTTTTACTGACTAACGATTACATATCCAACCAATAAACATACTGGCTTGCAACCATTAAGACCCTAATAGAAATAAACAGTCACTTGAACTAGTCAACATCAGTATTCCAGATTGTAAAGTGTCAAAATTTCTTCAGGTTTCCCAGTCATAAAAATGGGAAACTCACAAAAATGAGGAACTATCTTGGGTGATTGGATGGATCGATAAGGACTTATGAATATATTACTCAAAAAGTTTGAGTTTGATTCTCTTCCAATACTATAATAAAGATGGCCACTAAAAGATTTATCATATGTTAACTTCAAATAAAGAGATTATTCAAACGTGCGCAAGCTAATACAAACATTTATATCATCTAAAACTATAATAAAAAATAAAAATAATTAAATAAATAATAATGAATAAAAAACTAACAATTCATATACAGTATAGTAAGAATTCGTCTCACTTACAAGGGATTTCAAAGGCGGGGCAGTCTTGTTTGCTTGAGTCCGATTTTCCCACTTAAGAAGAATTAAAGTATCAAGAAGAGTCTGAAGAGAGATGCCGCCATCCTCCAAACTTCTTCAAGAAAGGTGTTGAAGTTACTTCTGGGAGAGTGAACCATTACAGGTTGAAATGACCTTTTGCTTTTTCCTTTCCCAGTTCTGTGTGGGTCATGGATCTGTGGAAAAAAATTTCATTCAGACTTTGAAGATTGGACATAATAATTACATAGAAACTTTTTAATTTAAAACAAATTATAGGACATAACAATTAAAAATAATTATTTAACTTGTAAATATTTGTGACCCAATATTTATCTCATTATCTTCGATCATATATTAACTCTCCATCAATTCTCATATAATTTTCTTATAAAATTGGAATATTTTTTTTTATATAAAATAAGTTATGTGACATAAGTAGTATATTCAAATGATTTATTAATGGGTAATTATTTTAAAAAGAAAATACTATAATTCTTCAGCCTATAGTTATGAAGATTGAATTGAACTTTGTTTCTGTTATATATTTTTTTTAAAAGGATTATCAAAATGTTTCGGTGAATTCTGAAATGGCTTATAATTATTTTCGAAATTTATATTTATAAAAACTGTTTACAAGAACATGACCCATAATAAAATAAATAAAAATAAAAAAACTGATAAATATAATGTTTTCGAAACAATTCCCTTTTTAATATAATTATAATATATTTAAAATGAATGAAGAAATTTAATGAGTACAGGACATGTTCATGGCGAAATGATAAGTTTTTACCCTGGTTTCATCCTTAAAGGTTAAAAGATTTTTAAGTTCTGACTACTATTATTATCATATTGCCTTTAACAAATAAACTAATAAATTATTGTTTAACCTCAAATTAATAGAATTAAAAATAACCATCCGGCTTTTAAATTTATTTCAATAAGACCCTCTCCTTCAACCTTCACCCTGCCGTCCAAACTTTTCAAACTACCATCTAAACCACCACAGCCCATTCCAAGCCACCACATTCCAAACCACCACGGAAGCCCATTCCAAACCACGCCATTCTAAACGTCACCACCATCAAAGCCGGCCCCCACCCATCTCTCCAAAACAACACCCACCATGAAGCAAATCAACCCAACACAATACATGCAAATAAACCCAAATCCACACCATCAATTATTAAAAAAAAAAAAAAGAGATAAAAGAAAAATGGGGAATAAAGGAAATGGAAAGGGACCAAATATCTGCTGTCCTATTCTGCCCATTGAAAATTTTCCATCGTTTTGTTTGATATTACCAAATGTGTAACCGAGACGAAGAGTCAATTATGGTTTTGCATGTAGCTCCCATCTCCTCTGCTCTGCTCCGCTCCAAACTATAGCTACATCATCCCCAACATCCTTAAAGAATAAAGTACAGCCCAACAGAGTCGCTCTACGAATTTTTCTTAACAATGTTCTAACATCCTGACAACCAAGGTCTGTTGGATCTTCAAAGAATAATCCATGGATTTGTATTAGAACTCTGTCAACGTTTGCAAGTACCCCGTTACTTTCACTCTCATCCCTCCTCTTCTCCAGCAAAGAGTTGTAAGCGAGGAAGCAGCTTGCGGCGCGATGGTGGCGCGTAAGCGAGAGTAAGGTGGTGAGGCAGAGAAGATCTCGACCTAGACCACGATCTGGCCTAAGGCCGGCTAAACTTTAGGTGGAAATATGTCGTTACTTCTTTCTAATCCGTACATATTCCCCGATGTTGGACAAAACATTTGCACATTAATACAAACTTTAAATGGATATTTCATCTTGGTTTGGATGAATTTTTATGAATGTCTTGAGTTATGATTAAAAAAAAATTCAAAAACAAAAATATGATTCTAAATTTTAAGTTACTATTTTTAATATTTCAAAATGTGTTCCATATATTATTAAAAAACTATTAAAAAAAAAATCGACTGTTAATCAATTTCTAATATACACTAGTTTTTAGAATCAACAATTTTCAACACAGCAACAATCTTCCTGATCAGCATGTGATTTACAAAGCATACCATTGTTGAAACGTAATCTTGTACTCTTACAAAAAGAAAGAAGCAGCAAAAATATTTTGTAACAAATATTTACAGAAAAGTGTTCCACCATTGAAGACGGACACGGGCTATTCCCCCCATCAAGACATTAACGTATTAACATTTTTCAGAGTAGGTCGAGCTTGGCACGAGTTGCTTTGTCAAGAAGTGCTCACAACATAGAAAATAATCCCATATCAACCCTAGGGTGTCCTTAAACATATTATAGATAGTATCAGTATCCACCTTCTGTTCCTGGAAATTGCGAAAAAAGAAACAATAAACCCATGTAAGATCTTCCGTGTTCTGAAAAAATAAGATAATAATAAGTGCAGAAATATCAAAAAAAAAAAAAAAAATCATTAAACTTAGACACAGCTAAACTCAAAATATTTTCATTATAATCTTCTATGTTGAAATTGTTCAAAAAACTTTTGGAAAAATTTTGCATTTCATTGAAATTTTCTGTAGTGAAATTAGAAACAAGATCCGGAAAACAATCACTTTAATGATAAATTTCTGAATAGCAATAATTTCAACATTTATTAAGTCCCACATGAAAAGAGAAGGTCAAGTGAACAAGTCGATTGCAATAAATAGCAATTACCAGTATGTCTGAAGCTAATTGCTTCAACTTCAGAGTAATCTCCATCGTAGACTCCCCAGTAGAAGACTCAAAACAAAATCGATCAGCATGTCTTACCTTGAGCCTAAGTGATGAGCTTTCATACAACTTAACTTCTGTGTGCCAAACCCCACTAACACGGTACCGATCCCCCAAGTTTGACTTCCCTAGGGGCCATCTCAAACCACCCTTCACTCCTGGATCTAAAACAGCTGAATTAATCAGATTTCTAAGGCTTTGCATTTCTTCATCCTGGGAAAACGCATATAATCAGTTTGATCATAGATATCATTCTCAGGGGTAAATGAAACAGCTATAAACTAAAAATTCGATAGATACATGTTAAACCACTGTTCCCTTTGATTTTACAATATTACTCCTCTTAAAAGATCGACTCCCACTAAACAAGAAAAAAAAAAATCAAATAAGGAACCTCATTGTGCAAAGCAAAAGCATTACAATTTTTTAAGTCTAAAACTTGGCAATTAACACTTTGATTCTGATTATTTTGATTTTTACTTCAACCACCTGTTAACGTTCATGATGTCTGGAGAGAAAACTCTAATAGATTGTAATCCTCAGTGAAAAGGAATTATATATATATGACTGTATGCTTAACTCTTTGAGCTTTGTCTTGTATTTCTTCTTTCTTCATCCCTTAGAAAGTAGACTTTGTACAGATAAAATCAAGTTATAGAACGAAGATTTCCTTCTATTGCTTTAAAGACGTTTTTTGCTTTGATTGAAATGAATAAATATTTTGATTAGTAACAACAAAGTTTAAATTAACATGATTAAAAGAAAGACAGATAATTGAAACAAAGTTATGATGAATTATTCTACCTAAAACATCTAATGCGTAGGGTTGCACATTAACTTACAGTTAAGTCAGTAACAATACTCTTGGTCCATAGCATCAGCCTCAGGTCTAAATTCTTATCCACGCATGATATGTCTATGGCCATGTGACGAGCAAAGTTTATTTCAATCTACAAGAAAAATATCTGCCATTGAGCATGAGGCTCTACATACAAAATAAAGATAAATTTAAAGTGAAAATAAATATTTTTTTTTGGGAATTCATAATATAAATAAACAAATGAGTCCAATGAGGTACATAACATTTCTTTATGTCCCTGATATATTACCCAGATCCAAATCCCATGAAGCAAAAGGCACTCTTCGAGAAGGGCAAATTCAATTTGGTTCATCATCAGCAATGTTTTGCAATTTAACACTCAAGATCACACTTTTAACAATATATATACTTGGGTTTATTAGATACTTATCTAAGGGCTAAGTCAAATTGACTTGTTTGGTTTATATTAGGACTTCTTACTCCTGTATAAGCAAGTCCTTTACAAACAATTCAAAAGAGTTGAAAATTATTTCTTTTTTCTATTATACTAGTTCCTTCACTTTTTACACCAAAATTCATCTCAAAAACTTAGTTCAATCCATTTTCTTTTTATTCAAAAACATAGATATAGGTACCACTGACAGCTTCGTTTACCTCTATGGTTCCTGGTATAATTAACTTTAGCAAAAGCCTTGTTTCACTTACTTAATTTTCTAAAGCAACCAACTCTGAATGTTTTAACAATCATGATTATCAAATTGAAGCATCGACATCCAGCATCCTATTTGCACAATTCTGATTTAGTTTTATGATAGGTTAAAATAATGGCAACATTCATGCAAAATCTGATATATTATCCACACATATAAGCATGTGACAGAAAACTTGCCTTATAGAGCTCAAACGTTTTATCTTCTTTTACTCTACATTTGCAATGAATGATCGCCTTTGGTCGTGTGCTGTCAATCACCTAGACAATGAAATTTAAGTCAGTAGCAATATTATCTGAAGCACAAGTAACATGATTGTAATAGACAGGTGTTTAGAAGAACAATTACCCTGATATGGTATACATCTTTATCTGTTTCAAAATCGACTCCTATTTTTGGCACAACTCCACCTATAATGTTTTCCATATAAGACGTAGGAACATTTGTATAAAATGTTCTCCACAATCGTTTCAAAGTGGTTTCAGAAACTGGATCTTTTTTTACCTTTTCTATGTTCACAGAATTGGTCCTGCATCAAAAAGATTAATCTTATAATAGCTGCTTAGTCCAAATTTTTTGGCACCAACTATCAGTACATAAGTTTGCTTCACGATACAAACTAATTGAGCTGCAGACATGACTAGAAGAGAAAATAAATTTGGTACATAAGAGTATCATCATTATATGGTTAGAAATAGGTCAGCCGGCAGATTGATTGTTTTCCCAATTAAATATGTTATGTGACTGGTCAGTCAAGAAAAAGTCGGGCAGGGGAAATGATAAACGAGTTACTAGCACTAACAATCAAGCAATTCTCAGGTAAGGCAAGGCATCAACAGCAGTGCTAGATATGTGATTTTGCAAGTGTTTCCATCTTCACAAAGGACAATGGAAGTCAAACGAAGGGTTTGAGGGAACTAGTAAATCCTAACAAAAAAAGTGGCCAATTCCAAGGCCATGTCATAGCATGCAGGATAAATCATTGTTTTAATTTCCTTTACTTTGGCTTTTAAGAAATATTACTCAAAGTTCCTGATTCAGAGATTTAACTCACTCCTATCCCTTCCACGGGAATAGGTAGGGGAAAACCTCATACTTTCCCTCTATTTTTACTGCTAATTGACCATAAGATTCTATACAATTCTAGTCTCAGTCATTTTGGCTTATGTAACATTCATAAAGAAAGAGAAATCAAGAAGCATTATATATTATATAACATTCAAGGCGATAAAGTAAATCAATTCTTTACCCACGAAAAAGAATTTTGCCAAATCTAGCAATCAATTTTGGCTTTACTTTCTCCAGCTCTTTGCACTCCATTTTGTTCCTCAGATTGTTAAAAGAAGTCAATAAATCTGGCCACACATTTTTAGCAAGAAATTCCCAAGGTCGTCTTGATATATTCCCTCCCAATTCATCATTACCTACAAACAAGAGAGAAAACGATCAATGCAACTACTTTAAACACTAGAATGAAATTCAAACAAAAAAATATAATACAATTAGATAATTCTAAACAGGGCATAACAGTACCTTTATCTGCATGATTGTTCACTAAAACTAGGGACTTTTCTCCTAGAGTCTGCTCAATGGGTTCTGAAATCGACTCAAGGTGGACAAATCCAGGAAATCGGTGATTATCATCCAAATCAACAACGAACCATCTGTAGACGCATTTGTCTACATTGATAATCTTCCCAACCCTGTGTACATTATGCTGAGATGATCTCAAGTTCAAATCTCTCTTGAATTGTGGAGCAAGCAGCTCTGGAGTTGGAGTTGGAGATGGACGGTTCGAATCCTTTGAGTGTCGCTTGTGTGGTGGAATATAAGCCATAAAGATATAGCAACAATCTTAAACCCTGTTAGAATGAATCATCAACAACGGAACTTTGCCGAATAAAACCCCTCTCCCAATTAACACCCAATTCTTGCAAAAATCAACAAAATAATAGAATAACACAAAACCTCTAATACTCTAACCTCAAATCCTCTGAAAATAATCATGAGAATTAAAAAAATAAAAAGACCAGCAAGAAATGTTTCTCTTACTTTTACTAACTAACAATTACATATCCAACCAATAAACATACTGGCTTGCAACAAATAAGCCCCTAATAGAAATAAACAGTCACTTGAACCAGTCAACATCGGTATTCCAGATTGTAAATTGTCTAAATTTCTTCAGGTTCCCCAGTCATCAAAAAGAGGAACACATAAAATAAAAATAATTAAATAAAAAATAACGAATAAAAAACTAACAATTCATACAGTAAGAATTCTCACTTACAAGGGATTTCGAAGGCTGGGCAGTCTTGTTTGCTTCAGTCTGATATTCCCACGCAAGTATATATACATATCAAAAAGAAAGATGTCGCTATCCTTCAAACTTCTTCAAGAAGGTCTTAAGTCACTTTTGGGAAAGTGAACCACTAAAGATCGAAATGACCTGCTTCCCTTTCCCTTTCCCTTCCCAGCTGATGGTGGGTCATGGATTCGTGGAAAAAAATTTCATTCAGATTTTGAAGATTGAGCATAATAATTACATAGAAACTTCTTAATTTAAAACAAATTATATGACATAATAATTAAAAATAATTATTTAACGTATAAATATTTGTGACCCAACTATGAATTTCAAAGGATAATAGCTTCTGTAGTTACAATATTTATCTCATTATCTTCGATCATATATTAACTCTCCATCAATTCTCATATATTTAAATAAAATTGGGATAATTTTGTTTTATAAAAATAAGTATGTGACATAAATAGTACAATATTCAAGTGATTTATTAATGAGTAAACCACTTTTTCCCACCTACGGATTTTTAAAATACCAATTTATTACCCAAATGTTATATTCAGTTTACAATTTCTGTTAAATACAATGATTTTCATTGTGAAGACGAAATTACCCTCTAACCAAACTCACCCCACCCATTTTCACCCTTTAATCGCCAGAAGACATCCACTTTTTTTCCAGCGAACCCCCCATCTTTTAGGCTTGTTTCTAGTCAATTGGCACACTGAAAATTCACCCTTCCACCACCATGGGAACCCCCTTCACCCCTCTTCAAAACCAATGATTAGGAACTCGACCCGTTTGCTAACCCGGCTGTGTCACGGGTTGACCGGTCAAGTCATCATGTTCTAATTAGAATGATGACATCAGCATGATAAAAAACAAAAAAATTTAAAACTCGAAACTTTCAGAATGCAGTAAAAGACTTAAGCATACCACAATTAAGAATGCGTAAGGAAACAGAACAAAAAACTCTCCCCGGGAGATCCAAAGCAGCAGAAAAAGCAGTCCACACAAGAGTCCACAGCAGGCCACAACAGAAGGGACCTGCCACACACCACCTGTATAAGGATAAGAAAATCAAATCATCCCACTCCTCTCGAAGAGAGACCTGCACCTCCGCCTAGCAGCCCTCCCCTGCCTCACACCAACAACAAAACACACCTCCCGCGTCCCTTAAACCTGCATGAGCAAGATCAAAACACCACACACACATTCCTAGGCTCCTTACACACAACAGCAACTAAATGTCCCCTATCAAAGCCACCAATAGGGTATAAAACCTCACCCCCAGATCGGTGAAAAACTGCCTCCACAAACAACTACCTAGATCTACCAACCTCTATACAACTCATGGGTAAGTCCCATTCTTCCATCGCTTTACCCAAAAAAGCAAGAACAAATCTATAAATATGTATTAATGACAAAATACCAACCCAGAAACCTTATTCTATTCACCTTGTAAACAAAAAGGAACCAACTTGCATACAAACCTCCATAAGCACAATGATAAACTTTAAATAATTAATTCAAACCACATTAATCAAACTGCCGAAAATATTTAACGAGGAAAAAAAATCAATAATGCATAATAAATACAATTAAACTCCACCCACTCCCACAAAAAAAAATAATAAGGAATCAATAATGACACAACAAAATTATTATGCACAGCAACAAGAATTCTCATACTCAAAACAATTTTTATTGATCATCAATCAAGAACCAGAAAATGAAAAATCCCAGAAAACCCAAAACCCCATTTTCCCAAAACATTTGACGAATTTGATCAAAATCGATATCATCAAAATATCACAACAGAACAAAAAAAATTAAGACAAACCGATCAAATAAAATATTGAGAACTAAACAGAAAGTATAAAAAGAAACAAAAATTTACAACAATAGCTTGAAATGAACGTGATGAGTGAAGTACCCGGGGAATTATCATTGGCAGAATGCTTATTATTGTTGGCAAAATTGTTGTTCTGGTCATCACCGTTTTGATGATAATAAGAAAAGAACAGTTCCTTAGCTAAAGGATTCAACTTTGTGAACATATCAAACAGCTTTTGCACATTGAATTCCGAATCCGATTTCGGAGATTCCAACTTATTGTTACTCTTCTCGTTGTTGTCATTGTTGTTGGCGGTGGTGATTGTGTTGGCGGCGGTTTGTTCACCGGCAATTTCAGCAACAGCAGCCATAGGATCAAAAAAAAGTATAAATTTTGAATGTAAATTCAACAAAACAAAACAAATGAATCAAATTAAACTACAAAACTTTAGTTCAATTGAAGAATTCAATCGAGAGATAAGAATTGAAGACGAAGAATGACGATTGATTAAACACAGAGGAATGGCGGCTGAACACAAAGGGATGCCGACTGACCACAGAAGATGAGAAGGAGTGAGCAATTGGGTTCGTAAAAGCAAAAATGAAAATGAACCGGTTTTCTGTCCAAACCAGTTGGATCTGCGGTTCGCTATTGTTCTACCCATCCGACTCTGGTCCAATCCGGGTGTATGCATACAACAATGCTAGGGCATCGATATTATGTACTGAATTGTTATACCAAATTACGTATCTCATGACTCAAACCAGTTACATATTTCAGGATTATAATGCTACGAACACCAATATTGTATACTAAATTATGTGTCTCATGACTCATACCAGTCATGTATCACATGAACTAATATTTTATGAGTGAATAATCGTTCATCAACTATGAACGATCATTCTTTGTTATGAGATAGAAGTCTATTATATATAGATATCCATCCATGCGAAACGAATAATAGATTATTGTTCATATTATATAGACGAAACTCTATTTACTATTAACGTGGTCCATACTTAAAAAAAAAAAAAAATTTAAATAAAATAAAGTACAGCCATTCACCATTTCTTGACGCCATCCCTTAATTTTGAACCTATCCACAGTATAGACGGGCGACCATACTGTAAATTTTTAAAAAAATTAAAATATCTTATGAACGGTTCTAGAGCTGTCAGAAGCATTAAATATTCTATGGAGTTTTCTCAATGCGAAGACATGTTAAAGTCATGTTGATTTTGGTGGTCTGTCATTGCATATGCTGCGAAAACTGGCATCTGCTTTGGATGGAATATGATGCTGTCTAACAAGTGGGAGATTGATGGAATTTACTTTTTCTGTTCTTGGGAGTTGGGCCTTGTTCCTGGGGTTTTATCTGCTTTGTACTTCTCTGTCGTCACACTACAACAATTACTATTGTTGGCTTAGCTGGTGAAAGGATCAGAGCAATTCTTGTTCTTTTGTTTTCAGAGCGTTGATATGGTTGCTTGTGTTACAGCTAAAATTAAACTTTCAAATCTAGCTCAAGTACTTTCAGACACTTGCTATTTTACCACCTCTTTTCGCATTTTCTTTCTAGGAAACATACTGGCAACCTAGTCAGTGAGCAGATTTTACACTGAGCCTCCTAAAATGTTGAAATTGATCAACCTGGAGTTTGGGTGCTTGTAGCTGGTGGCAGCTCTGTTTCTGTTTTCTCTTCCCCTCTATCATCAGAGAACAATCTATCCATTTTATATGAACTCTCGTCCATCATTCGTTTCACATGGACAGGCGTCTACATATAATGGACTCCCGTCCAATAACAATAAACGACCATCCATAGTTGATGAACGGTCGTTCATTCGCAAAATATTGGTTCATGGGATACGTGGCTGGTCTGAGTCATGGGACACGTAATTCGGTGTAATAATTCAGTGCACAGTGTCGATGTCCGTAGCATTGTTGATACATATAGATAGGTTTATTCACAGATCGAATCGGAGAAGAGGCCAGTCGATGATTGAACCAGGTCGGGTTCCTAATCATTGTTCAAAACCCACCATCCAATCAGCTTTGCCCACTCCCCGTTTGTCGTCGACCGGTCTTTTTGGGCGCCTACCACTAAAAATTCCCCAACCAACCTACCCTTCTCCTGAGTCTTGCCTGTTAGCACGCCTACAACCTGCCCCTACAAGTTGCTCATAAACCACCTCCCACCGCTGCCTATCCCTTCCAACAGCCACAACCCAACCACCACTCCAACAGCCTCTACACCATCCCCACCCACTTTTCCAACCCTCAATTGACCCAGAACAACACCCTAACACCCGCCCGCCAACTGTTCGATAAAATTCCCCAACCAACCAAAACACACTCCACTAGGTGGGCTTGGATAGGAAACCCTCCTTTTCTTCTCTTCTCTTCTTAGGCTCTTCCATTACATACAATTGCCGTCAGAGTTGGGAATGCCAATGACCAAAAAATCAACAAACAAACCACAAACACTTTAAATAAACCTTCCTCGATCATCTTTCAACCAAACAAACACAAAAAACTAAACGAATCAAACCTAATTAATCAATCAAAACTCGGAAAACCCTAAGGTGGGGAAGCTTCAATCGTCGGCTATTGGTGAGTAAATGGAATGGGGAATGTTGGGGCTTTTGGAGAGGAAGAGCAAGTGAGTCGATTGATGGTGACAGAGACAATTTCCGATAACGGAATCGACCAGAAAAGTACACGATTGATTCGCGCGATTCTTGCCCTTTTCTGGCCACTTGTGGCATCGGAAATCTCTTTTGAGACCATCAATCAACTCACCGACCTCCCATCTCCAAAACTCCCAAACTTCTCGATGCCAGTTGCACGTCATTCACTACTCTCCGCCACCTAGGGTTTCATCATTTTTGTGCCAATTCCGCTTGATTCCCGTGGCCAAAATCCAATCTTCCGCAACCCTTTCATCCTCCGATCCCCCCTCTTCAAAACCCCTCAAACTCTTATGCTTGGTTACTCACCATTCATCAGCCGTGAATATCCGCCCTTCGCCATTTGCTACCTTTTGGAATTTTAAATTTTGATTTCAGATGCAAAATATTAATTAACCATCCTGTCCTCACTTATAACTAACCTTTTACCATCAGCCTTTCCTCACAATAAAAATTACTGACAAATTTGTACTTTAAGTAAAAATATGGTATTTTAAAAGTGTGAGGATGGAAAAGTGTCATTAAGAGTGGTAAAAGTCAATTAACTCTTTATTAATGGGTAATTATTTTAAAAAGAAAATTAATTCTTTAGCCTATAGTTATGAAAATTGGATTGAACTTTGTTTCTGTCGTCTCTTTAGGAAAGGATTTTAATATTTTTTAAAAAGGATTTTGAAATGGTTTATAATTATTTTAAAAATTTATATTAATAAAAACTGTTTACAGGAACATTGACCCATAATTAAAAAAACAAATAAATATGACATTTTCAAAATAATTGCGTTTTTATATAATTATAATATATCTAAAAAGAAGGAAGAAATTATATCCCCATGTTTGTTTCACTCTTTTAAATCATTTTTCTGTTTAGGCATGGCAATGTTCCCCGAAATTTCGGAGACCCGTCTCATCCCGCCCCACCCCATATGGCACGGGGAAGCCCTGGTTTTTTCTGGGATAAGGGCAGGGGTGGGGGTGTTTTAATCCCCGTACCCAGGGATGGGGCGGGGAAGGGTGATGCATTTCCCCCCACCCCATATATAATATACAAAATTAAAAATTGTATATATATATTTACTTTTCAATAATACCCCTATATTTTACCTAATTACACAATTATCCTACCTATATAAACTCATGTTTTTCCAATTTCCCTCACCATAAACAATTGAACAAGAGCAAACCCTAACCCATATTTATGTAAAATTATATATGTTTAAACGATTAATTTAAGTGTTTGTTATATGGACGAGAATTAACTATTGTGTTTAGTAATGTTCAAATTAATTCATGTTTATGTAAAATTAATAGGGCGGGGATAGGCTTTCAACATTCCCTTGTGGGGCAAGGAAGGAGAATTCCTGTCATCCCTGTAACGGGGATGGGGCAGGGGTGGGGAGTGATTTTGAGGGCGAGGATGGGTATGGTGAATGAGATCCCCGCCCCGTCCCATTGCCATGCCTATTTCTATTATCCTATTTGGATTAAAAAACAGAATGTGTGTTTGTTTGCTTATTGAGATTATTATTCTAAAAATTACTCCAAATCAAATAAGATTTTTTCTATTGAAAATGAAAATAAGGGGAGACTTGTTTTCTATTATCCTATTCTATTCAACTTAAAACATTTAGATTATTTTTAACCCCCTATATTTGTTAATTTAGCTAAACACCCCCACAATAAAAGTTTAAAAATTAACTAAAGCACCCTAGTCAGCAACCACTGTCGACTGCCAATTGCCACCGCTGTCGTTAGAGTTGGAACAATGCACGACCAGCCGAATCTGGCCGGTCGTGCGCTAATCTTACCATTTCCGGCCAGATCTACGATCAGAGTTCTGGCCATAATTGACGGCTTCATTTTTGTGAGGTGTTTTTGTTAATTTTTAAAGTTTTATTGTGGGGGTATTTAGCTAAATTAACAAATGTAGGGGGTTAAAAAATTATCTAAATGTTTTCTAAAAATGTACCAAACAACTTTTCAGCATTTTATCCAACTCTGATATAATTTTCAAATATTATACCAAACATATTATCAGAATCTTATCATGTTCTATTTAATCCAACTCAACTCAACTTAAAATAGTTTTTCAGAATATCAGATTTCAAATAATCTACCAAATAGGCCATATACGTTCTAATCCATATATATTCCCTATTGTTGACCAAAATATTGACACATTAATACAAACTTTAAATGAATATTTCATGTTGGTTTGGATGAATTTTATGTCCGTTTGATTTGTGATTAAAAAATCATTTCCAAAAACTAAAATATGATTCAAAATTTTGAGTTGTATCTTACTATTTTTAGTATTTAAAAATGTGTTCGATATAGAATTTAAAAACTATTGAAAACTGGCAAATTGATTCTTAACCGTTTTCTAATTTACACTTTTTAGGATTGTATATGAATACTGTTTTCGAAAAACAATTTAACTTATTTGTACCAAACACATTCTCATAAGATTTGAGGTAACCCTTGTTTTCAAAAACAAAAATTGTATATAAATTTTATATCAAATGGATCTAAATATCCCAAATTTTTAATGTCAAACATTAGGGGTTTATTTTCTTCGTCCCCTTGATAGATAGTTAAGACTCAAGTGTTACAACAATGATGAGAGGTTTTTATATATATATATATATATGTTCACAAGGGTTTTATGATATTTTTAGGAGAATTCTAATAATTTTAGAGAGGTATCTAATACTTTCCCAAATTGTTGGGGCGCTTGAGATTTACCATCTCTCGGGGGTGAATTAAATTAACCCCAAACATTATATTAAGATAAACAATAATTACTTCGTCTTTGTATCAACTTTTTCGATGTCGTACTTTACAACATAATACAAATAAGTTTTGCTATGGTACAATGTTGTAACAATACATCAATGTGAAACTTGTAAATCAAAATAATAAAACTTGTAATATCCTCTATCACATAATCGTATTATAGCCATAGCAGTGGCTAAATCAACCATATGGGTTGATATCTCAGTTTATCTAAGTTAATTACACAGGCTAAGGGGAACTAGAAACCATAAAACATCTAAGATTTGGCATTGACATCCTCATTTAGCAAGCAATCTTCTTCTCTTTTAACCTTTACTCGGTATACCTTTTTTGGTAGCAATTTTTCCTTATATTTCTGTCCTCCCTCTTCTTCAATATAATCAGTTGTTGTCAAGAACTGCTCACAACACAGGAAATGTTCCCATATCATCCCTAAGGTGTCCTTAAACATACTATAGCTCGAATCGCTTTCACGCTTCTGTGCCTACAAATTGAAAACAAATCACAATAATGAACACATGCTTGATCTTCATAATCATAGTCAACAACTGAAATATACACTCCGTTGCACAAAATTCATATTCAAAGGTTACTTTATTCATGGATCGATATCATTAAAATGTAAACAAGTAAATGAAGAGTATCTCTATAATAATATTTGACAATCTAAATAGAAACTTACCAGTAATTCCGAAACTATTCCCTTGAATTTCAGAGAAACCTCCCTTGTAGCATCCTCAGTTGCAGTCTCAAAATTATATCGATTAGCACTTTTTACCTCGAGCAACAACCATGGGCTTTTATAAACTTCAGATATTGTGTGCCAAATCCCAACAACCTTGTATCTACTACTCTGAGAATATGCTGTCTGGGGCCATCTGAATCCACCCTTCTTCGCCGGATCCACAACTGCAGAATCGATCAGATTGCTAATCCTCTGCCATTCATTATCCTGAAAAAGTGCATACAATTATTTTGAACATATAACAAATTCTCAAGGATAATTTGAATCCAGCTAGAAACTCTAAGATATGGAAAATTCATGTTAAACCACTATTACTTTTGGCTTTAAGATTATATTAGTATCTAAAAATATGCAATACATATAATTTCTTCAACTCAAAAGCGGGAACAAAGAAGCAAAAATCTCAATGCACAAGCGTTAACCTTTTCAAGTCTACAAGTTTGGATAAGTGCTAATATAGAACCCATTTGGTAACTGATAGATACCTCTCCCAATTCAGTCAACCACAATAGAAACAACAAGCAAATAATCGAGAATTAAACTCAGAGAGCAACAAGCACCTGTAGCCAAAATCCAGAAACACTAGCTCTTATATTGATATTCCAGCAACACAAAATACACAGCAACAAGAACTTAACAAAACTAGCCAAAACAGAAAATCAAATAAACCAGAAACCAAAACAAGAAATCAAAATGGTTTAAATGATTTCTCCTTTTCATTTTTTTAAACTTAAATGATTTTACTTAAGTTTTGACTAGAAAAAGATATGTAAGACCAACATCAAAAGGAAAAAGAAAAATTAAACGAATAGCAAGGTGACACTAAATCAGTCAAACTGAAGCATTTTAATTTGCATGGTTGTAGATAACTTACAGTCAATGCTGTTAAGATCCTCTTGCCACTAAGCATCAGCCTTAAATCAACAACCTTATCAAGGCATGATATGTTTATTACCATGTGACGAAGTTGGTAAATTAGTTTGACCTACAGGAAGAAATGCTTATAATTTAATATGAAATTCCATATGCAACAAGAAGAAAAACCTGTGATTACGAAATGACCCTGGTTACTGAATTCATGAGTTGTTTCATCTCCATCCATATCAGCATAAAAATATTTGATTGTAGAAAAAGTTAGAAGCAGAGAGCTTGCCTTATAGAGCTCAAGCTTTTTATCATTGTTTAAAGTACATTTGCATGATATAATTGAGTCTTTTTGTGTGCTGTCAGATAACTGCAAAAGGAAAAAGGTTATTAAGTCAGTATTTAACTAAACCAAAAGTACAAGAAGCTTGATCATATTGTGCTCAGAAAAGGTGATTACCCTGACATGGTATATATCCTTCTTCCCTTCAAAATCAATTCCAATTTTTGGCACAGCTTCCATTATAATTTTTTCCGTGTATGAAGTAGGAAAATTTGTGTAAAATGATTTACTCAATTTTTCCAAAGTTGTCTCAGAAAGCTGACCTTTTCTGACATCGTCGAACAACCTTGAAACATTCCTGAATCAAGAAGATTAACATTATAATTGCCGCTTGGTCCACTTTTAATTACAACTATTACTGGCAGATGCTTGCTTTACATTGTGAAAACTACTATTTTATGTAATAGAAGACCAAACGTATTTATACAGTAAGACATGGTTAGGGAAATGAGAACTTCTGTTATGTCAAAGAAATGTATGTAAATGGTCAATCAAGAAATAATCAAGCATGGCGATGGATTATTTTGTTTCCAGCAATAGGCTAGGAATGTGTCTACACAGATCAAATACCAATTCTTAGATTGAATGAAAGCTTCCATGAGATCTAACTAAACGTGGCACCATTATCCAATACATCAAGTCCAGTAAGGATATCACTATCTGGCATAAGCATCCTACAAGGGATTGGGGGGGTCAAGCCCATGAAAAAGAATAGCTAGCTATTCAGAGAAAACTGGATAACATACCCATGAAAAATAATTTTGCCAAACCTAGCAACCAATTTTGGATTGACTTCCTCCAGGTCTTGACACTTCATTTTCTTCCTCACATTTTCTAAACAAGACAGTAAATCTGGCCATGCCTTTTCTGCGACATATTCCCACGGTCTTCTGGATACATTCCCTCCCTCTTCATCCTTACCTAACAACCAAAAGATAAAAATAAATAAATAAATAACCTGTTAGCTGAATACAAGATTTTAAGAGTAATACCAAAAAGGGCAGACCACTAACCTTTACCCAGATGACTGTTCACAAAAACAAAGGAGGGATTTTGTCCATATTTGGGTTCTAAAGAAATCGGCTTAAGACATACAGAAGAAGGAAAATGATTATCATTTTCCAAACCTGTTGCAAGGCATTTAAAAACTGCGCGTTCTGGGTATACAATACTCCTAGTACTTTGTACATCATATCTCGGCGACCTCCACATAAAATGTCTATTGTTTGGAGGTGGGGATGGCCTCGCCGAATCATCAGAATGTCTATTGTTCCGAGGAACAAATTCCCTTCGAGTTGAGGAGGGCCTTTCCGATTCAATTGAAAGTCTATTGAACTGAGGATCAAGCTGCCTTTGAGCTGGGGATGACCTCTCCCAATGCTTAGACTGTTGCCCCTGTCTTGCAGCCATTACGACCCCAATATTTTGTACATCATGTCTCGGCGATCTCCACCAAAAATGTCTATTGTTTGGAGCTGGAGATGGCCTCTCCGAATCATTGGAATGTCTATTGTACCGAGGAACAAATTCCCTTCGAGTTGAGGAGGGCCTTTCCGATTCAATTGAAAGTCTATTGAACTGAAGATCAAGCTGCCTCTGAGCTGGGGATGACCTCTCCCAATGCTTTGAATGTCGCTCGTGTCTTGCAGCCATTACGAGCCTAATAGAAATAAACAGCCACTTGAACTAGTCAACATCAGTATTCCAGATTGCAAATTGTCTAGATTTCTTCAGGTTCCCCAGTCGTCAAATAGAGGAACACATTAAATAAAAATAATTAAATAAATAATAATCATCAATGAATAAAAAACTAACAATTCATATAATAAGAATTCGTCTTACTTACAAGGGATTTCAAGGGCTAGGCAGTCTTGTTTACTTTTGGCTGATCTTCCCACTTAATAAGTATATGCGTATCAAGAAGAGAGATGTCGCTATCCAGCTAACTTCTTCAAGAAGGTGTCAAAGTTACTTCTGAGAAAGTAAATGAACCATTAAAGATTGAAATGACCTTTTGCTTTTCCCTTTCCCTGTTCTTGGTGGGTCATGGATTTGTGGAAAAAAATATTTCATCCAGATTTTGCAGATTGGACATAATAATTACATAGAAACTTCCTAATTTAAAACAAATTATAGGATCCCTCCTGAATATTTTGGACCCACTTCTTCAACGTAAACAGTCTAACTCAATTCGTTAACGGGAATTAGTTAATGGTTTTCCGTAAGATGAGTCCTAAGGGCATAAGCACAAAATTAAGAGAGTCCTTTCAACTCCAAATTTTGCAGAGAAACGGAAGGCTGTATCTTTTTATGTAACTAGTGCAGTTATACTTTTCTTTATTTTGAAGATTTCTAGCATCCGCATCAGCAATTTTCCTTGATCAGCATGTATCTTCAACACAAATACACATAATCTGTGGATGATTTACCAAGCATTCCATTGTTGAAACGCCAAACTTGTACATATTTAATCACTTACAAGGATTAAAAAAGAAAGAAGCAGCAAAAATATTTTGTAACAAATATTAACAAGTAAATGTTCCACCATTGGAGACGGACATGGGCTATTCCGATAACTGACATTAACGTATTAACATTTTTCACAGTAGGTAAACTTGGCATGAGTTGCTTATGTCAAGAAATGCTCACAACACAGGAAATGATCCCATATCAACCCTAAGGTGTCCTTAAACATATTATACATGAGTATCAGCGTCCACCTTCTGTTCCTGGAAATGAGAAAAAAATATACAATATAAGCATGTAAGATCTTCCGTGTACTGAAAAAATAAGATAATGAAAAGTGCAGAAATATGGAAAAAAAAAAAAAAAAAAAAAACAGAAGCAATTCTACTTATATGATTCATTGCAAAAAATAAATAATAATAAATAATCATTAAACTTAAACACAGTAAACTCAAAAATTTTCATTATAATCTTCTATGTTGAAATTGTTCATAAAACATTTGTAAAAACTTGCATTTCATTGAAATTTGCAATGCTGAAATTGTTTAGCAACTCAACGGTGAAACTAGAAACAAGATCTGGGAAACAATCACTTAAATGATAAATTCCTGAGTAGCAATAATTTCAATTATTAAGTCCCGCATGAAAAGAGATGGTCAAGTGAAAAAGTCGAATGCAATAAATAACAATACCAGTATGTCCGACGCTAATCCCTTCAACTTCAGAGTAATCTCATTGTAGACTCCCCAGTAGAAGACTCAAAACTAAATCGATCAGCATCTTTTACCTTGAGCCTCAAGGATGAGCTTTCATACAACTTAATTTTTGTGTGCCAAACCCCACTAACACGGTACCAATCCCCCAAGTTTGACTTCCCTAGGGGCCATCTCAAACCACCCTTCACTCCTGGATCTAAACAGCTGAATTAATCAGATTTCTAAGGCTTTGCATTTCTTCATCCTGGAAGAACACATATAATCAGTTTGATCATAAACATCATTCTCAGAGATAAATGAAACAGCTATAAACTAAAACATTTGATCAATACATGTTAAACTACTGTTCCTTTTGGTTTTACATAATCACTCCTCTCAAAGGATTGACTCCAACACAAAAAAAATAAAAAAAATAAGGAACCTAATTTTACAAAGCAAAAGAATTACAACTTCTGCTTAAGTCCACAAGTTGGTAATTAAAACTTTGATTCTGATGATTTTGTTTTTTTACTTCAACCATTTGTTAACTTTCATGATGTCTGGGGAGGAAACTCTCATAAATTGTAATCTTCAGTGAAACGGTATTGTATATATGACTGTCTGTTTTTAACTCTTTGAGCTTTGTCTTGTATTTCTTCTTTCTTCATCCCTTAGAAAATAGACTTTGACCAGATATAATCAAGTTATAGAACGAAGATTTCCTTCTACTGCTTTAAAGTTGTTTTTTTCTTTGTTTGAAATGAAGAAATATTCTGATTAATAACGACAAAGATAACAATTAGCATGATTAAAAGAATGACAGAAAAAAGAAACAAAGTTATGCTAAATTATTCTACCCAAAGCATCTAACATGTAAGGTTGCACATTAACTTACAGTTAAGTCAGTGACAATACTCTTGGTGCATAGCATCAACCTCAGGTCTAAATTCTTATCCACGCATGATATGTCTAGGACCATTTGATGAACCGGGCTTAATTCAATCTACAAGAAAAATATCTCCAATTATGCTTGAGTCTCTACATACTAAATAAAGATAAATTCATAGTGAATATAAAATTTTGTTGGCAATTCAAAATATAAATAAACAAATGAAACCAATGAGGTGCTTAATATTTCTTTATGTTCCTGATATATTACCCAGATCCAAATCCCATGAAGCAAAAGGCACTCTTCGAAAAGGGAAAATTCAAGTTGGTTCATAATCAGCAATGTTTTTGCAATTTAACACTCAGGACCACACCTTTAACGTTATATATGCTTGGGTTCATTAGATAATTATCTAAGGGCTAAGTCAAATTGACTTGTTGGGTTTGTATCAGGACTTCTTACTCCTGTATAAACAAGTCTTTTACAAACAATGCAAAAGAGTTGAAAACTATTTCTTTTTTCCTCTTCTTTTAATGGTGATTTCCATTTAAATGTTTCTAGGAAGACTTCTAAAAAGGTCTTAATCAGATTCTAAAAATTTCTATCCTTATCCTGTTTCTTCATCTTTTCTTGTTTATATTATAGTAGTTCCATCACTTTTTACATCAAAATTCATCTCACAAACTCAGTTCAATTCATTTTCTTTTTACTCAAAAACATAGATATAGGTACCGTTGACAGCTTCATTTACCTCTACGGTTCCTGGTATAATTACCTTTAGCAAAAGCCTTGTTTCATCTACTGTACTAAAGCAAGCAACTCTAAATGTTTAAGAATCATGATTATCAAATTGAAGCATCAACCTCCATCATCCTATTTGCACAACATTGATTTATTTTTATAACAGGTTAAAATAATGGCAATATTCATGCAAAATCTGCTATATTATCCACATATATAAGCATGTCAGTAACAGAAAGCTTGCCTTATAGAGCTCAAACGTTTTATCTTCTTCTACTCTACATTTGCATGAAATGATCGACTTTGGTCATGTGCTATCAATCACTTAGACAATGAAATTTAAGTCAATAGCTATATCATCTGAAGTACAAGTAACATGATTGTAATAGACAGGTGTTTAGAAGAACTTTTACCTTGATATGGTATACATCCTTATCTGCTTCAAAATCAACTCCTATTTTTGGCACAACTCCACTTATAATGTTTTCCGTATAAGAAGTAGGAACATTTGTATAAAATGTTCTCCTCAATCGTTCCAAAGTGGTTTCAGCAACTGGATCCTTTTTGACTTGTTCTATGTTCACAGAATTGGTCCTGCATCACAAAGATTAATTTTATAATAGCTGCTTATTCCACATTTTATGTCACCAACTATTAGTACATATGTTTTCTTCACATTACAAACTAATTAAGCTGCAGAAATGACTAGAAGGGCAAATACATTTGGTAAATAGAGTATCATCATTATAAGGTTAGAAATAGGTCAGCCTGCAGATTGATTGTTTTCCCAATTAAATATGTTATGTGATTGGTCAGTCAAGAAAAAGTCAGGCAGGGGAAATGATAAACGAGTTATTAGCACCAACAATCAAGCAATTCTCAGGTAAGACAAGGCATCAACAGCAGTGCTAGATATGTGCTTTTGCAAGTGTTTCCATCTTCACAAAGGGCAACGGAAGTCAAACGAAGGGTTTGAGTGAACTAGTAAATCCTAACAAAAAAAGTGGCCAATTCCAAGGCCATGTGATAGCATGCATGATAAATCATTGTTTTAATTTCCTTTACTTTGGCTTTTTAAGAAATATTACTCAAAGTTTCTGATTCAGAGATTTAATTCACTCCTATCCCTTCCATGGGAATAGGTAGGAGAAAACCTCATACTTTCCCTCTATTTTAACTGCTAATTGACCATAAGATTCTATACGATTCTAGTCTCAGTCATTTTGGTTTATGTAACATTCATAAAGAAAGAGAAATCAAGAAGCATTATATAACATTCAAGCCGATAAAGTAAATCAATTATTTACCCACAAAAAAGAATTTTGCCAAATCTAGCAACCAATTTTGTTTTTACTTTCTCCAGCTCCTTGCACTCCACTTTGTTCCTCAGATTGTTAAAAGAAGTCAATAAATCTGGCCATACATTTTTAGCAACAAATTCCCAAGGTCGTCTTGATATATTCCCTCCGAAAAAAAATCAATAATGCATAATAAATACAATTAAAGTCCACCCACTCCACAAAAAAATAATAAGGAATCAATAATGACACAACAAAAATTATTATGCACAGCGACAAGAATTCTCATACTCAAAACAATTTTTATTGATCATCAATCAAAAACCAGAAAAATGAAAATCCAGAAAACCGAAAACCCCATTTTCCCAAAACATTTAACGAATTTGATCAAAATCGATATCATCAAAATCACAACGAACAAAAAAAAATTGAGACAAAACATCAAATAAAATATTGAGAACTAAACAGAAAGTATAAAAAGAAACAAAAATTTACAACAATAGCTTGAAATGAACGTGATGAGTGAAGTACCCGGGGATTATCATTGGCAGAATGCTTATTATTGTTGGCAAAATTGTGTTTGGTCATCACCGTTTTGATGATAATAAAAAAAGAACAGTTCTTAGCTAAAGGATTCAACTTTGTGAACATATCAACCAGCTTTTGCACATTGAATTCCGAATCCGATTTCGGAGATTCCAACTTATTGTTACTCTTCTCGTTGTTGTCGTTGTTGTTGGTGGTGGTGATTGTGGCGGTGGTGATTGTGTTGGCGGCGGTTGTTCACCGGCAATTTCAGCAACAGCAGCCATAGGATCAAAAAAGGTATAAAATTTTGAATGTAAATTCAACAAAACAAAACAAATGAATAAATTAAACTACAAAACTTTAGTTCAATTGAAGAATTCAATCGAGAGATAAGAATTGAAGACGAAGAATGACGATTGATTAAACACAGAGGAATGGCGGCTGAACACAAAGGGATGCCGACTGACCACAGAAGATGAGAAGGAGTGAGCAATTGGGATCGTAAAAGCAAAAATGAAAATCTTTTGAATTTTGGGGATTGTTCTAAGGAACCGGTTTTCTGTCCAAACCAGTGTGGATCTGCGGTTTGCTACTGTTCTACCCGTCCGACTCTGGTCCAATCCGCGTGTATGCATGCAAAAAGCTACGGGCATCGTACTGTATACTGAATTTTACACCAAATTACATGTTTATGACTCAAAACAATCACGTATTCCATGATAATAATGCTACGAACATCTATATACATCGAATTGTTATACTGAATTATATATCTCGTGAGTCGTAACTCATACCAATCACGTATTCCATAAACTAATATTTACGAGTGGAACGATCGTTATCAACATAGACGATCGTTCACTGTTATTAGATAGAAGTTTATTATACATGAACATCATCCATACAAAATAAATGATGGACTCTCATTCATGTTACATAAATAAAAAACCTATTACTATAAACCCACCCATACTTTAAAAAAAAAAAATTAAATAAAATAGGACAGTCATTCACCATTTCTTGACGCCATCCCTTAATTTTGGACTATCTACAGTATGGACGGGGTCCATACTGTAACTTTTTAAAAAATAAAATATCTTATGAACGGTTCTAGAGCTGTAAAGCATTATATTCTATGGAGTTTTCTCAATGCGGAAGACATGTTAAAGTCATGTTGATTTTGGCTGGTGTCATTGCATATGCTGCGAAACTGGCATCTGCTTTGGATGGAATATGATGCTGTCTAAGAAGTGGGAGATTGATGGAATTTACGTTTCTGTTCTTGGGCCTTGTCCTGGGGTTTTATCGCTTTGTACTTCTCTGTCGTCACACTACAACAATTACTATTGTGGCTTAGCTGGTGAAAGGATCAGAGAGAAGTTTGTTCTTTTGTTTTCAGAGCGTTGATATGGTTGCTGTGTTTACAGCTAAAATTAAACTTTCAAATCTAGCTAAAGTACTTCAGACACTTGCTATTTTACCACCTCTTTTCGCATTTTCTTTCTTGGAAACATACTGGCAATATAGTCAGTGAGCAGATTTACACTGAGCCTCCTAAAATGTTGAAATTGATCAACCTGGAGTTTGGGTGCTTGTAGGTGGTGGCAGTCTGTTTGTTTTCTTTCCCCTCTACATCAGAGAACAATCTATCCATGTGACTATCATCTGATATAGTGATGGCTGAAAGTATTTTATTTCAGCATTCAGGGGACATGGTTTTCTTCTTAAATCAAGTATCAGTTGTCAGAGGTTCTCTTTTAGTTCCCTTTATGATGGGTGCATGGACTCATTTCTTGACTGCATAGTTGACCAATTTCTTTTGTCACCTGCTGGCATGGTTGATGACGCCATAGAAGGACTAGAAAGCATGAAGAATATTGAGAACAACGTTCAGAATGAAGAGATTGTTTGATGTGCACGGTAGTTTGTAACTGATATAGTCATCGTGGATAGCAGAGAGATTGATTTGTGCATAATAAGTTTTTCTCATGAAGATCTGTGCTGACTGTGTTTACCTGCTTAGATTATGGATGGTTGTGGACGTCAAGAAGGAAAACCCTCAGGAATTAACATTTTGATAATCCTTTTGTTGATTACGGACTGGTTTTGTGAGCTGCTTAGAATATTAATGCTTCTGAAAACTCGATAGAAAAATATATGGACGGGCGTCCCGAAATTGTTTTCAAACTTTTGTTTTAATTGAAGCAATTATCAGGCGTCATTATATATTGACGTCCGTCATCATTGAGGGATGCCCGTCCACTATATAATGGATGAACATTCATAAGTTTTTTAAATTTTTTAAGATATTGTAATTTTTTAAAAAATTACAATATGACGAATGTCCATTCTAGGTGGACGGGGTTCCAAATTAAGGGATGGTCATCCAAAATTGTGAACAGTCGTCCCTTTATTTTATTTAAAATTTTATTTTTTTGTATGGACGGGTGTCTATTTTATGTGGACTCTCGTCCATCATTCGTTCCGCATGGACAGGCGTCCACAATAATGGACTCCCGTCCACATATAATGGACTCCCGTCCAATAACAGTGAAAGACCGTCATAGTTGATGAAAGGCATTCATTCGCAAAATATTGGTTCATGGGATACGTGGCTGGTATGAGTCATGGGACACGTAATCGGTGTAACAATTCGGTGCACAGTGTCGGTGTCGTAGAATTGTTGATGCATATAGATAGGTTTATTCACAGATCGAACCGGAGAAGAGGCCAGTCGATGATTGAACCAGGTCGGGTTCCTAATCATTGTTCAAAACCCACCACCAATCGCTTTGCCCACTCCCCGTTTGTCGTCGACCGGTCTTTTTGGCGCCTCCACCACAAAAATTCCCAACCAACCTACCCTCTCCTGAGTCTTGCTGTTAGCACGCCTACAACCTGCCCCTACAAGTTGCTCATAAACCACCTCCCACCGCTGCCTATCCCTTCCAACAGCCACAAACCCAACCACCACTCCAACAGCCTCTACACCATCCCCACCACTTTTCAACCCTCAATGACCCAGAACAAAACCCTAACACCCGCCCGCCAACTGTCGATAAAATTCCCCAACCAACCAAAACACACTCCACTAGGTGGGCTTGGATAGGAAACCCTCCTTTTCTTCTCTTCTTCTTAGGCTCTTCCATTACATACAATTGCCGTCAGAGTTGGAATGCCAATGACCAAAAAATCAACAAACAAACCACAAACACTTTAAATAAACCTTCCTCGATCATCTTCAACCAAACAAAACAAAAAACTAAACGAATCAAACCTAATTAATCAATCAAAACTCGGAAAACCCTAAGGTGGGGAAGCTTCAATCGTCGGCTATTGGTGAGTAAATGGAATGGGGAATGTTGGGGCTTTTGGAGAGGAAGAGCAAGTGAGTCGATTGATGGTGACAGAGACAATTTCGATAACGGAATCGACCAGAAAGTACACGATTGATTGCGCGATTCTTGCCCTTTTGGCCACTTGTGCATCGGAAATCTCTTTTGAGACCATCAATCAACTCAGACCTCCCATCTCCAAAACTCCCAAACTTCTCGATGCAGTTGCACGTCATTCACTACTCTCGCCACCTAGGGTTTCCATTTTTGTGCCAATTCCGCTTGATTCCCGTGGCCAAAATCCAATCTTCCGCAACCCTTTCATCCTCCGATCCCCCTCTTCAAAACCCCTCAAACTCTTATGCTTGGTTACTCACATTATCAGCGTGAATACCGCCCTTCGCCATTTGCTACCTTTTGGAATTTTAAATTTTGATTTCAGATGCAAAATATTAATTAACCATCCTGTCCTCACTTATAACTAACTTTTACCATCAGCCTTTCCTCCAATAAAATTACTGACAAATTTGTACTTTAAGTAAAAATATGGTATTTAAAAGTGTGAGGATGGAAAAGTGTCATTAAGAGTGGTAAAAGTCAATTAACTTTATTAATGGGTAATTATTTTAAAAAGAAAATTAATTCTTTAGCCTATAGTTATGAAAATTGGATTGAACTTTGTTTCTGTCGTCTCTTTAGGAAAGGATTTTAATATTTTTAAAAAGGATTTTGAAATGGTTATAATTATAAAATTTATATTAATAAAAACTGTTACAGGAACATTGACCCATAATTAAAAAAACAAATAAAATGACATTTTCAAAATAATTGCGTTTTTATATAATTATAATATATCTAAAAAGAAGAAGAAGAAATTATATCCCCATGTTTGTTTACTCTTTTAAATATTTTTTGTTTAGGCATGGCAATGTTCCCCGAAATTTCGGAGACCCGTCTCATCCCGCCCCACCCATATGGCAGGGAAGCCCTGGTTTTTTGGATAAGGGCGGGTGGGGGTGTTTTAATCCCCGTACCAGGGATGGGGCGGGGAAGGGTGATGCATTCCCCCCACCCCATATATAATATACAAAATTAAAAATTGTATATTATATTTACTTTTCAATAATACCCCTATATTTTACCTAATTACACAATTATCCTACCTATATAAACTCATGTTTTTCCAATTCCTCACCATAAACAATTGAACAAGAGCAAACCTAAACCATATTATGTAAAATTATAAGTTTAAACGATTAATTTAGTGTTGTTATATGGACGAGAATTAACTATTGTGTTTA